CTGCTTCCTGAAGAAATGTCCTCTTCGGATTGGCTAGTTTCTGGCGAAACAGACCGGATGAATGCCCCTGCCACAAAACAAACAAGAAAGACTATAATTTTTTTTCAAATAAAAGCATGATTTTAGTCTTAACGCAAGACTTGTAATTCCGTAGCAAATCTATGATATCCTTTAGAATTCATTTTATACTGAAATGAATAACAGAGAATATGAAAAAAAAGAAGAACACACTCGTAAAGAGAGACGAAGATAATTACATGGCATCTCACTTACCAATATCGAAGGGTTTTTCCCTTGGAAACAAAAGAGTTATGAAGGAATTCTTCCAAACATCAGATTCCCTTTCTTGAGAAACTCGGGCTGCGTTTGTGTACAACATTTTACGAATCAAGCTCTTCTCCTGTTGAAAGGGAAACGAGATAATTTCCTTTGTGTATGAACTATGTTGCGCAGGAAATGGCGTTGGATTGGCCATACGCTCAGAAGAGTTAGCAGCAATGTGGCAAGACGAGCCCTGAACTATCAAACACAGGGAAAGAGGACAGTTGGACGGCCCAGGAACAACAGGAAGCGGTCCATGGTGCAGGAGGTGGAAAGAGTGGAATACTCCTGGAAAGAGAGCCAAACAGTGGCGGATTAAGGGGAGGGGCCCGGGGAGCTCGCCTCCCCCCCTCCCCCTCCCCCCTTATTTTGGGTAAAAAAAAGAAGTCACAGAAGGAAGAAAAGCCGGCAGGGCAAGCAAAACAACCCCCACCCCCTTAGCTCAAGGTCTGGATCCGCCACTGACAAAGCATTGGCAAAGAAGCGTGCATGTTGGAGAATACTGGTGGARYCCTTATGCTCCCCCGGYGYTGATGAAGGATAATGATGATCAACTATGTGCAGTTAAGTTACCCACATTTCTCTCAATGTTGATTATATTTTCAAATTGAGATAGCTCCTATTAAAGTTAACCGTAAGTTTAGAACCTCCACCTTAATAAAGGGACAACATATTTATGAAGTGTGCTCAAACGTTGTGGAACTAAACATTACACTCTAAGGAAACACTTAAGAGGCATTCTTCCATTTTCACCTCCTATTTTCTGCTATGAAAGCTCATCTGCAAACATGACCCAGTCCCCTTTCTTTTCAGACAAAAAGACTAGGAACTTCGCGCTCACCTGTTGATCAGCTGTAATTCCGTGGACATCACGAGGCCAGGCTACCGACCAGAAAGATTCCATTAGCTTCATTCGTGTACTTTCTGACTTATTACGAAACATGTCAGCAAAACGTTGACAATCGCAGAAGAGGACCTTAGCGACGGGCAAATATTTCCATTTGTACAACTGTTGTACCACAATGACGAAGCCCTTCTTCCTTGTAAAGCTCTCCGCTGCCAGATATGGTTCTTCGACGATTCCACGCTCATCAATGTAATGTATTATGAGTTCCTTGTTTTAAAAAAAAAATGATGTGAGCTCATCAAGTTACGTTGTAGCTTTTAGAGTTAACCTTTAACTCAAACGGAAAAACTAATAGGCCATTTTGTTGTTCGTGACCCTGGGGGAGAGGGGAAGAAGCACCCTCCCCTTACTCTTTTGTATCAATAGGCCACGTCCGATATATCCATAATCTAACATGGCTCCGAGGCTTTCAGGACAAACTTCTATATTTGGTGGTGTTTTTTTTTTTGTTTCTTTGTTTTTGTTTTTGTTTTTTTTTGTTTTGATTTTTGTTTTTGTTTTTGTTTTTGTTTTTGTATCCAAGTCTCTTTCGGGAATTGAGAGACAAAAGAAACTTAAAAAATTTACAATTTTGACCCGAAAGCCTCGGAGCCACGTTAGAATATTGGTATATCGAACGTGGCCTATTATGATTACATATCACGCTTTATCACTTTACATTAAAAAAAATAGCCGCCATCTTGGATTACAAAAAAAAAATGTTCAGAAATGCCAGGACATGTAGAACAAATATTGATTCGAAAACTCCAAAAAATGAAGCAATGCAGGAACTTTTAAAGGACCCTAGTCAGCCACACCTTTGTTTATGTTTCCGTGCAAGAGTTTGGCTATTATTTTTCATTTGGAGCATGTCAAAACGAATGATTTCACTGTGAAACTACTAAAGATAATTAAACATACTTTCAGGAACACAACTTACAGTAAAGCAATAAGATTTCGCTCCACCATGCAATATCAATAATTTCGATGACATCGAAAATGGCGGACGCTGACTAGGGTCCTTTCAGATCTTTATAAAATTCAAAATGTATGGCTACCACAGAAGCGTCAAGTTATGTACCCACCAAATTGTCTCTGACAATTAAAAAAATTCAAAGTGTGACCATTATAGCTTGAATGATGTTTATTCTATAAGTAGGAAATGCTTGAAATCAACGCGGGCACCAAGACAGTACTTGTGTAAATACGTACAAAGATTTTTTAATGGAGAACTACTGAGAATACTATGCTTTTTTAGCTAGTTAATTGTAAATCTGTACATACCTTGGGTTTGTCAATGCAAAGTTTTAAAATACTGAGAATGGAATCTCTAAGGTTAAAAAACGGTGAGCCACTTTTGATTTGTTTTTTCAGCTCCAGATCGAGCTTGGTGCGAAACATTCTCCCGCAGATTCTGAAATGAAAATAAAAATTTGAAACGCATGACTATAAATGTGCAGATGGATACTGAGACAGCAGATAACTACCCTATCCACTTTTATATTAAGAGCCCAGTCACTACCACCTTAAAATTCTCCCGGTCACACTGGAATTAACTGAGGGTGGCCATTCTCACTTTAAGCTGTCAATCCCCGACCAAAGCGAAACAACAAGAAAACAAACCAAGCAATAATCAAGCAAGCAAATCAAAAAGCAAACAAACATACTATGTGTCTTTGGTAATTCGGAGGAGGATTAAGAGCTACAACGCTTGCCCACTCTCATCGACTTTGAACCTGTCCAAATTTATCTTGAAAGTGATCGAGAGTGCAGAGTTGTAGATACTCAGCACCCGCGCTGTCTTGTTCTGGGCTGCTGAGGCTAAGAGATTCTTTATAGTGTTGATAACAAAACCTTTCTGGGCAAATCGTTTTGGAGGTACTCGAAAAGTGTCCTTTACCGAATTAAAATTAGCGAGAAAATTCCGAAAATAGCCATTTTGGTTACAAAAGTTTTAAAATAGGTCCGCAATCCGAACTTGTGGTCTTATGCTTAGTTTTATTCCATTCGGTTGGAATGTTGCTTTTAAATGTCAGTATCTGGAGTTTGAATTACTACAAGTGAGAAGGTAGACAAGTCTTTACAATTTAGTTTGGGTAGGAAATGTATGGCAGAATACTGTTTGCTTACTTAATTTATCCTGTAATAATAATTATTCATTTAACTTTTAGTCCCAAAGTTGTACATGTAGGGTCACATGTTTTGCCGCTGTAATGACCAAGCCCGTTTAAATACATAACAACATCAACAACTGGGTCCCCTTATATTATATAAATCAAACTGGTTTGTAAGAGCTTGTGTGGTGCAAGTCAATAAATGTGGGCTTGTGAAAGCGTATTAGTTTCAGTAAAATCCGCACTAAACACAAGCCGAGTCTAGATATGTTGGCTTGCGTGAGCAAACAATACCCGTAAGGCCGAGGAAACGGCTGCAGTTACACAACAACAACGCTACGCCAGAAGCAATGGCCGACGAAACAACTCGAAAATAACGACTCGCTATTACTAATACCCAGTGTACCTGCCAGACAATTTGTACTCCCGGAAGTCTGTCACGTTTTGTCTCGTACTCAAAGTGACATACATAACCTCAAAATCAGCCTCTGTCTTTCTGGTCCGTATGCATAAAATGCATAAGACGACAATAAAAGCTATTCATTCCCCTGACTGTTTACAAGGCACATACCTTATATCATGCAGCTCAGCATCCCATACCGCCAAAGCGTGGAAAGGGACTGGTGCCGGGTTCTGCAGCACAAGCTCTCCTACTGTTCCATCTTCTTTTTTGGGAATGTCACAAAGTATTTTCCCGCGCATGCGTGAAATCTGGAACTTGGAGGACTTCCCATCGACAGGACATGAAAAGTACATGTTGAACGGGTCGCTATCAGAATGAAGAANGGAAACGGCTGCAGTTACACAACAACAACGCTACGCCAGAAGCAATGGCCGACGAAACAACTCAAAAATAACGACTCGTTATTACTAATACCCAGTGTACCTACCAGACAATTTGTACTCCCGGAAGTCTGTCACGTTTCGTCTCGTACTCAAAGTGACATACATAACCTCAAAATCAGCCTCTGTCTTTCTGGTCAAAATGCATAAGACCACAATAAAAGCTATTCATTCCCCTGACTGTTTACAAGGCACATACCTTATATCATGCAGCTTAGCATCCCATACTGCCAAAGCGTGGAAAGGGACTTGTGCCGGGTTCTGCAGCACAAGCTCTCCTACTGTTCCATCTCCTTTTTTGGGAATGTCACAAAGTATTTTCCCGCGCATGCGTGAAATCTGGAACTTGGAGGACTTCCCATCGACAGAACATGAAAAGTACATGTTGAACGGGTCGCTATCAGAATGAAGAAATAAATTAATTTTTTGTTGTCAGTTTATTATGGCTGTGGTACTACTACATGAGATATTAGAACAATAGTCAACAGGACGTTTTCCTTGTTTACAGAGCCTCGGGCCAAACACGAAGTTTGGGGGTGGCGGGCGGGGGGGAGGGGTGTTGATAGAATTTGAGACAGTTATGCAATCCCGAAATTCAGTCGAGGGTTTGCATGACTTTCGAGAAATCTCCCAACCCCCCTTCCTGTTTAGATGAGGCTATGTAAACACGTCCTCTACTACTTTTATACAATATTTCTCAAAACACAGAAACATAACCGTGTTTACATTCTCTCATCTAAACACACTCATCGACCAATGAGAGCTAATGAGAACGCGCGCAGTATCTTAGTTTTCTTATAAAATACTAATACTTTATATTCTTACCACGATTATCAGTTGAAACGGCTAAAAGAAGTGCATAGGAGAAGCGTGTTCTCGTCGTCAAAACTTCTTGATCTTGTTAAAGTAACTAAAAACGCTTTGAACAG